GTCTCAAAATATGATGCATTCAATTGTTAATTGAATCTAAATTTATGTTTCAATTGTGCACTCCTTATGTAATACCGTCTAATTTGAGGCAATTCTGGGCACTCCTACCACTCCTATACACGAATTGCTTTTATACAATCAAATTCTGAGTAAATGTTTAACAAATAAGAATTTTTGTTTGAAAAATGGTTTAACAATATTAAGCGCTTTTTAGATAAAATTAATTACATTTGAAGAAAGTATTTTTTTTATTGCAATATTAGTTCCAAGTATTTGATGCATAATTGAAACAAAATTATGGTCAGTATTTGGTGTGTATATGAAAAGTTGATGAGATATGATCAGAAAGTCGTATAGTTTTTGTTTGTGGTTATCTAAAAACATTTTTCTATAATTAGCTAACTACAGGTATTATACAGTATTAACATAAATGTATATCACTATAGGACCTATAGTATAGGTTAATCCTTGAATTAAGAATATTTTTAAATTCTCTATATTTAAGTGTAATTTGAATGCAATCCAGTATTGTTTGCATATTACTATTAATGCAATACAATATATAAAATCCCTAATAATTATGCAAAATATGTTGAAGCACTTCATAGGAAATCATAAAACGCTGGCAAAAAAATTTATGGTTTAAGAAATGATTTGATGAATGGTTAGAGAGACGAGCGTTGGGTTAATTTGAAGGGACATTAGGGATGACGTAATGTAATTGTTTTAGCGTTTTATATAAAGGTTTCAGAATTGCTTCAAATAAATACATTATATTTCACAGAAAGAAACCTTGAATTGGATTAAAATGTAAACTTTTTTTTATAATAATGCTTTTGTCAGTTTTACATTAATGCTAATACTTGTTATTGTGTACGACTTGCTGTATAAAGCATAACATTAAGTTTAGATTGTTTTAAAACTTTTGTTGCGTTTTTGATCACATCTTTAGAAAATGAAATATTCTTTGTGTGAAAATTTAGTGTCGGATAAAAGAATTATAAAAATCACACTTTTATTTATTTGCTTACATCTCAATCAAAATTTAGTTGCGTCTCAAAGGTATGCGAACCGAAACAATAGACCGCTCTCTCGGTCTTTGAGCGACTCTAATAAAGACCAAACCATTTTGAAAGTCTATCCGAGCGGTCAATACGGACCACAGGATAAGACATATGAAGACGCGGGGGTCCCGCCGCGGGTCAAGCCTTATATGCCGCCCGATATACCGCCACAAGAAGACACAGTCTATGACTCTAAGCCAACTCAAGTCGATAGTAAAGCCGATGAAGAGACCAAAAGTTCTGCCGACGATAATATCGTAAGTATTGTACATTTATTTATATATTTGAAGTTTATTAAAGTATAATTTGGATGACTTTAAGGGCGCGAATGGGTGTATATGTGTGCCGTACTATCAGTGCGACGACGGAAATATAATAACCGACGGCTCGGGTATTATTGATCCGCGAAAGATCAAGCCATCGGAAAAGGAGATTCCA